ACACAATTGTTCAGCAAAGTTGATGATGTGTAGCCACTTCTTATATTGGCATCTTTTCAAAAAAGGCCTGGAAGCAACTTCTAGGAAAGGGGTTACTATTAATTATATTCATAAGCCATGAAATACTTACACCGAGGGCTGAAACATAGCATGAGCCACTTCACATGTAAGCTGGGGTATAAACATGGCGGGGTAAGAATGGTCGACGCGTGGTTTAACTTCTGAAGTTCAATAGCCTGAATGAATCTGCTGTGCCAAAATCACCTTCTTTATTACCTAGTACAGTATCAAAACCCACAATGGGCACATACTATAGAGGTTGTTATTATTGGTCACAAGGCACTTGTTTATGTAAGAAACTGTACTGTAATAGGGGTTGTATCTAATATATGAATGATACCTTCTTGTGTTTATCCTATTCATTAATTATGGAGTTTAGGTTATATGGGGATATATTTCTGTAGTTAAGTATGGGACCAAGCTTGACTAGAATAATTATCTATCTGTTCCCACTGTAATTAATACCATGTCATATCCTGTGTAATGTTTGTAATAAAGAGAATTATTAATAATATATCATGAATCCCTCTAAAATCTGAAATAGAAAAAATATATAAACAACTGTTTACCATCAGTGTTGCCATAACAGTATGCTGTGTAAAGTTGTTCTTTAGTTCCCATATTGAAAATTTGCTGTGTTTTGCAACCAGACCTTCAATCACTAATCTATAATAATATCAAAGATAAATATGAATATTAGCAATAGTTAACCAGAAGCGGATCTTGCACACCATTAATAAGAAATTAATAGATGGTATTGGTTGATTATAATCATATTGTATATCCACTTTTATTGTCATTTCTACCGTACTATCATTATTGCCTCTGTCATCGTCATCATCATTGTTTATCATCATCAAGAATATCATCAATGGCTTTGTCACCATCGTTACTGCTGATGTCATCATTCATTGTCTTTGTAATCATCATCAGTTTGGTGCAGGAGTTTGCAGTTCAGTTTTCCAAACTGAATTCCTTGAATTTTGTGCAATGCTTGGACGATTTTTTTTTCTTTTTCTTTAATTTGTATATTTGATAATAATAATAATAATAATAATAATAATAATAATAATAATACAATAATTAATAAATTTAGAGTGATAATAATGATACAATGAATAATAATAACAAAATAATTGATTTTATTACATATAATATGTTTTTTAATCTTTTGTGTACTTCTGATGTTTCAAATTTTAATGTATTTTAATGTTATTTTTATCTCCGTTTTTTATGTCTTGTGCTTGTGTTTGATTGATATTTTGATGTTTTAATATTGGCCTACTTTTCCTGTATATATCATGTAATTTAGCCTTGGCTGCGATTTTGATGTAATAAAAGAAACTAAACCTCAAGTACTGTGTATTTCACCTGTGTCCATCGGCTAGGCACTTTACCTATGGTTATCTCCCTGCCCAGGTACTGTAGGTTCAAACTCAAATTCGCTAATAACTACCTGCAACATTATGAAATTCCCCCTATTGGGAGCCGAGTACCAGGAGAGAATTTAGGTGGGGGAGGGGGGTTAAACAGGATTTATCCCCCACCCCCAAAAGTTTATTACCAGTATGTTTTTTTAATGACTGAATTTACAGCCTAAAAAGTTGGCCTAAAATAATATTTATATTTAATGCCTCAGGAAATATTAGTCTATTAACCACACCCGCATCACAAGGGGAACTATACTTCTGTGGCTTAGTTGAATCAAACCATCTGAATTTCTATTAGCCCCAACACACTAACCAAGAATGCTGGATCCACTGATTATGTGTTCCATATAAAATTTGATCAAATTACTGATCTAAAAATGTACAGTGCTTTGAGGCCTAGTTGGCACTGAGCGCTATGTAAAACTAACATATTATCATCCTCATCTTCATCATCATTCTCATCATCATCACTAACATCCAATTTTGTCATTGTTATTCCTCACTTTTATTAATAATGAGCAGTTCTTACTTGTAAGATTCTCCGTCTATCACTGGCACTGGTGCATGATTCCGGATGTAGAATTTCTCATTCGGTGTTACAAAGTGGTCCCTCAAGCTGGTCACCGGTGGCTCTGCATTGAATGGTGTGCTCTGGTTTATAGTGAAGTCAAGGGCTCTCCTCGGTTCCTTCTTATAACCACTTGCCATTACTTCCAATTGTAAACAAAAAAGTAAAATATTAGATTTGTAGATCTAAAATGAAAACAAAGCAAGAATTTGTAGTACTGGTTGTTTGTAATGGTTAGCTATACCACCACCCCCCCCCACCCCCTTATGTGTACATGGCTCATTATTTACGTTTTGCAATGGAACATTTTCAGGAAAGTCAACCCCTGCCCAGATGCCCTTATGGAGTTCCACCAATATCATAGGCCGAAGGTCATATGCAGAGCACCTTGCATTGGTGCCATGTTCAGATTTCGAGCTTCATGCTAGGATGTTCAACCCCCATCTCAATAGAAGGCCTTCTTGCATCAAATTCCTGCCTTGTTTTCACTTTACTAAAAAAAAAAAAAAATCACATTTTTTTCCTGAATATTAACTTTACAATACTTGTCGTGGAACAATAAGCAAAGCCATATGAGGCAACCAAATGGTTAAGTTGTCGCACAGTCCAGTATTGAGTAAATGAGCTATAAAATATTTGAGCTCAAAAAATTGCCTAAAAATCCAAAATTGTTTTTCACTATAGATTAACAGTTTAATGTCTCATTAATCATGTCTCAAAGCAAAGTATTAGCTCTGGAAGTGGTTAACAAATTGTTTATTTAACGTTATTTTGATAGTTCATTCTATTAAACAATGCATGCAAAAATAACTTTGAAAGGCAATTACTCAAAATCATGTTTATCTTGAGTACTGTACTTTCACTTTCCAATAACTTAGGCTTGAAATGTCCAATTTGAATTAATGACCCCTCATTTTAAAGATCACATACTCAGGTATCTGAAAATTCCATTAACTTGAATTTCAATTTTTGCTACAACTTAGCCATTTTGCCACAACATGCCTTATATTATTATGAATTTAATACAAAAACCTGCTGCTATTGTTACACCAGTCTGAAACCATTTATTTGTAAATCTGATTTAAGATGTTATTGATTGTCCTAATCCAATCCATATACCATACTAAACATCCAACCAGAATTATAAATTGTTTTAAGACTGATAGTTACTGCCTAAATAAAAAAAAGGCAAAATACACACAATTTCATCAATAATTTATATCAAAATAATAATTTATATATATGTCTAGGCCTAGTAATTATTTATTTATTATTATTAATCACACTGTCACATAGATAGACCTATAATTAATAGTACAGCTATTCCATAGGCCTGGCCTACAGATATAATATACTAAAGTATGTACCAACAACACTTGTTTAAAAATAGCAGGCCTGTGTACTGTGTAGCCTTATCGCAGCAATTTTGAATGACTATTGACGACATGCAACCAGATTTAGCTAGTTTTGAAGTGGAGTGAGACTGAGTCGTGACGAAGCTAGACTTCCCAGGTCTAGCCTTCTCCAGGCTTTGCCTAGTCCCTAGCCTAAACAAAATTATCATAATCATGAATACATGTAACTAATTACAACGCATAATAATAATTAAATGCCTAGCCTAGGCTTACTACCAAAGAACTTAAATAGCAGACTACCTTTCTTATCTTCGTAAGCTCGATATTAAAAACGGATGATTGCCTCGTCCTCCTCGGTGTGTTGTTTTTTTTCGTGATCGTGACCCCATCTCATGAAAACAAGGTCATTCAACCCTGCCCTTGATGACTCGCTTGACTGCACTCTGGCTGGTTTTGCACATTTTGTCAAAAAAAGAGACAAGGTTTCAGGAAATTCGTCCTACACAATCAGTGAAAAGCAAACTTGTTTTAAAATGTCCATGTCTAAACAGACGCAGTGTTCTTTTCTCCGCGATTATGTAAAGTACACGAGCTATACAGAGGGTCGAGACAAAATTTATAGGTAGGCCTAGCTTGCTAGGCTAGCTATGCCTATTGGTCAGCAGAGGAGGTTAGATTCGGCTTAGCCTAACCATTCCAGCTAGCTAGTGTGGGGAATGGTAGGCAATTAATGGTAGCCTAGAAAACATTAATATACTAATAATTACAGTAAGAAAGAGAAGAAAGCAAAGAACTTATAATACACGGCAATAGGTATTTAACATGTATTGACACACTACACAAGACAGTTTTATTTAACCAGAAATTCCAACAGATTTTAGGCGTGAGCTTTTTTGTTTTTGTTTGGTAAAATTTGCTAGTGTGGTAAAATGTGTCTGCTGCGGCGAGCTGGTTTGTGGCGAGTTTGTTTTTGCCCAGATTGACTCGTATTCACAAAACCAATCATATTTCAAGTACTGTGGATTAAAAACATTGAATATGTAAATTGTAAGAGAGCTACGAAAATCACAAATAGTATACATATATTTTTTAATAAGGCAGATAAAAGAATGTTGGTCCTTAACTTAAGCATGAGACCATCAGACAGACCTCAAATGCATGAGTCTCACACCGATCTTACATAAATCTAAAAATAAATTGCTACACCATGATGAGAACCCCCTTAAATACTATAAATAAATTATTAAAATATATATTGATTATTCACTTTATATTTTCTGGATTATTAACAGCAGAGACTATCAAACATTTTAAATAATACATATTCCCTATCATTTATTTAATTTATTTATTTGTTCTTTATACTGGGTTACCTCTTCAGTTTTAGAAATGTAACAATTTAATTATAGTCTTTTTTTGTATAATATTTCAAGAAATACATTTTGGCAAGTTTTGAAACATCTTATCTAATAGACATATTGTCTATACTAGCATATTTACTGTGCTCTATATCTTTACAAACACTAGATTATATTATTTACCATATTTAATATTAATTCAATTCATATTCCCTGTATTTTTTTTCTTTTCAGGACAATTCAGTATGCATCCAGGTTTGTGCTATGGTATCTTTCAAGGCATGGATCACAGTCATCGTTTCAGCAGAAGGTCAAAAATCTTGAGAGTGCAATTACCACATCGAGAAAATGTACGATTTACTTTGTGAATATAATTTGTGTAGCCTATACAAATTTCACTAGGTATTTTTATTTATTTCTTTTAACACAAACATGAGTATGTGAAGAAAATTTGAAGTATGCTTACTCATGTATAAGTGTCAAGTAACGCATATTACAGCAGGTCCATAAATAATATATTAGTCGCCATATTCAAGAATAAAAACTGATGAGGGAGGGAGGAAGGTTTTTTTTCTCCAACCCCCGCCCGCCCAGTGGTATATCTAGTGGGTATGCGTGGTGGGGGTGCACGTCCATTCAAAAATTACTCGCGCCCCACCAGTCGCCCCCCCCCCCAAAAAAAATCCCCCCCCAAAAAAAAATCATGGTAAAGTAGTTAAAACCACCTAAAATCACCTTATTTTGCGAATTACCGCCTCTCGACCCACCCACTTCACCTTAGCGCGCTCCATCAGCACCCCCATTTCAAGATTTCTAGATACGCCACTGCGCCCGCCGCACAGACCCACGCAAATACACTATATGAATGAACAGCATAGCAGTACATACCATTGTAAAATCTTCTTCTATATCTCCACCTCCAATCTCAATTGAAAGAATCAATTAAATAATAATAATAATATGTCGTTCTTACATAGCCTTTACAAAGCCTCTAAGCGTTTCACATTACTACCCCGGTCATTGGATCAAACACATATGGAACACATTGAACACCAAATTAAATTATTAAATTAAATTATATTATTATTCCATAATATTGCGGCTAGTAATCAGCGCAGTTGTGTTGGAACCTACCAGGTACCCACTTGTACTCCTGGGTGGAGAGAGGCAACCGTAGATAAGGTGCCTTGCCCAAGGACACAAGCGATTTGCACAGCTAGAGTTTCGAACCCCAATTAAACAATTCATTAACAGTGGTATTGTTGAGTTAATTGTGCATGCGCATTATGCAAATGCGTAGCAAAGTCAGCTAAGTCAAATGTGTTAAGAGAGCTCATTTAACCAGATCTCCTAGAAGTACCTTCCAACAGTTGGGACCCTTGTATTGTTATACAGGTCTTAACTCTAATCATAGAGAAAATAGAACTGTTCTATTTTCTCTATGCTCTAATTAGAGACCACTTTCGGGACTGGGGTTTCCCTGGTCTTTAGCAGCTTTGGTCTCTAATTGGAACAATAAAGATAAACGACAGTTAATTTGGTCCTACAGAAAATTGGTCTTTAATTGGAGGGATCTTTATTTTGAGGGAGACCTGTATTTGTTTTTTGTATTGATTCTTGATAGATTTTAATCAACTTTCTATGTGTGTTGTAATTATTATGATAATTAATTTTATTTAGGTTTTTATTGTTACGCAAAAAAATATATTTAATTTCCACACTTGTATCAATAACACACATCTTATTCTTCTAACCTTAACAGTATTCAGAATGGCGAGGTGCATTGATTTTGCTTTGAAAGCAGTAGATGCTTTGCGTACCACAGATGAAAAGCTGATGATATTCAGCCTGATCGGAAGCATTGGCAAAGCCGGTTGGCTAGTCCTTGACCATGCCATATGGTTTGGACAAATCAAAGTGTTTACGGTACGGATTTGTTCCCAAATATTTTATTATTATTGTTTCATTTTAATTGCTTAATTGCTTTTGATTAAATAATATTACAATTACTAACAATTGGACAAACCAGCACAAAATACAACCTTCTCTGCTCCTTGGGAAGAATACCTACCCATGTTGCAGCACTAAGCACAGACTACTTATTTTAATTATATATTTACAATAATTTTAACTTGATTGATTTTTTTTTTTTCACTTTTATAGGTTGAAAGTCAAAGGTGGGCCAAGATCTCCTACTGGCTGTGGTTGATTGGTGTTACCGCTCTCGCTCTTCGAGATCTCCGCAAAATCTCATTGCTCACGGCTCAGGCAAAGAGGCTTAAAAGTGATGGTGAAAAGGGAGAGAAAATTGCCCTTAAAGCCGAAATCGAAAAAGCAAGGCTTGAATTTCTGATAGACTTCTCAGATGCTTTTATTCCTCTTTCAGCTCTGGACTTCTGCAGCAAAGGTATTGGTGCGTTGGGCGGCGTTGTTGCTTCTGTCGCAGGCGGTTACATTGCCTACGAGAAGAATGTTCTTGCCAATAGATAAAGAAATAATTATCACTTTTAATTGGTTATGAGTAAGTTTTAGTTCGAGACGAGTAATCTGAGATGAATTGCCATCGCTGTGAGGCATTTAAGCATGCTTAATTGTATTCATATTTGGATGTCATTGACTTTTGTAATCACAGATCTGGTGAAGGTAACATATTGATTCAATTATAATAGCATGCTAGCTATAAATGTGACGCACTGTATGTCATAATGTTAACGTACAGTCCCAGAATAGTCATCGTCTCAAACGGAAACTTGCTGTCAAATTATTAAAATCCTGTCGGGTACTACTGTGTTGTATTCAGGGATACAGTGGACCCACCCCTGGTCTGTGCTAGCCTGAGATTTTCAAGATTAAAAATGTAAAAAATATTCTGGGATTATTTTCTCAATAACACAAATTTATTTAAGTTATTATTATTTTATCCAAATATGTACAGACCTGAATTGCTCTTATTCAATCATAAAATTATTAAAATTAATATTGGTTTTAAACTAATTTTTTTAATAGGCGGGCTTGAATTTGTGAACAATATACAGATTTTGTTAATAATGTAGGAATACAAGCTGTACTAATGCATGTGTAGATTTTATATTGAAGCACTGTAAAAAATTGAAAAATACACTTAGGAGGATGTATAAATGATTGAATGTATTATGAATGTTAATGGAGTGGGACAAGAATTGGTGGTTTTATACTTGGCTGGCATGAGTGCTTTTCTCATAGAGACGGTCGAATAATAAATTTATTGATTGTACTCTGGATAAATTAAATTGGTTTAAAACCATAAATCATTTTTGTACATACTTTTTTTGTTTGATATTACTAAAAATCAGTTGTACTCTGTTGCTAGTCTGGTGACACAAAATCAGGTCCCACGACTTCCACAATACTATCCCTATTTACCAGAAATACTTCAGCTCCGGGGCTTTGCTCCATTAGAGCACCTCCTGTGAACCCACCAATGGGCTTCGACATCCCAATATCCCCCGGCTTTTTCAAGGAATTCTGACTATGGGGCTGTTGTGGCTTTTGTGGAAGACAGACAAATTAAGTTCCTGGGCACTATATTAACTTTTATTAGCACTGTTTTATATACTGTTTTTATTTCCTCTCAGAATATATTCATAAAAACATTGCTGCTCCATTAAAGCACATACTGTACTGTACATTATCACTTAATAGTCTCCAAGCTTAACATTATCTTTTAAATAAACATATTTTATCTTTTATTAACAATCATTTCTTGCATTCCTAATAAAATTACACCTCTAAATTAAAGCAGGGTCCCAGGTCACCCAACGAGTCATGGGATCTCACAGAAAACAAGACTGCTTCCACATTCCCCTCCTCCTCACCCCAAAGATCTCTTGAGACTAGCCCATATCTAATTCCAATTCATTAATTTCAATGTTTTTTGCTAACTGTATTATCAATTGCAAATCTTTGCAATCCTCTTAAAAAGTGATGTAACCATTCACATAATTCCTCACACATCCTTGCACATTCGTATATTATTGACATCAAAGCCATTTACTATATCTGTTCTCTATTCATTTGTTGTTTTTATTATAACATTGATTTTGGCATCTTCTTTTCTTGTTCATTTGCTTTATCTTTGTCTTCATCCCAGTCATATGTTGGATATTTGTTATGATCTACAAGTAGATTAGTAAAAAATAGAAAAATCAGGAAATTTATTCAGTATTAGAATACATCATCTCACACAAAAACATTAAAGCTAGGCGTGCACACGTACACACCGGGGAATTGGGGAAAATGAGCAAGAGCTAGACACACTTTAGTAGGTCTCTAGCTAGCCTAGGCTAGGAAGTAAGTACTTTTTTAGGTTTCGTAGAATCTATGTATGAGGTATATAAACCAAATATTGACTGCTCTAGATTTGGGGTATGGCCCTTGGGAAGATAGGCTATATCTCCACATCACCTCGGGTCAATAGATTTCACCATTCCCCTCATGAGCAGTCAATATTTGTATATATTCCCCTGAAAACTAGTACTTTTTTGACTTGTTGCGTGATGTGCATAGGCCCACTTCACATCACACTGACGGGATAGGGGACTGCAACCTCTAAGACGAAAAAGATTGGCCCATGACTGCGCTACAGAAGAGCGAGTAGACGATAAACCTATGGAGGCTAGGCAGGTCTGTTTGAGCTCCTGGATGAAGGACTAGCCTAGGCCTAGCATTACTTCTTGATGAAACTGATAGCAAAAGCACCAAAAGGCAAATTAAATGTGTCTTGTCAATATTCAACAAATATTGGTAGATGGTGGGTGCTGCTGTTGAAATTGAGGAAATGAGCAAGAGCTAGACACACTCTTTGATCGCCTAGAAGACTAGTAGGCCTCTAGCTAGCCTAGGCTTGGTAGGCTAGGAAGTAAGTACAGTACTGTATTTTTTAGGCCTCGTAGAATCTATGTATGAGGTATATAAACAAATGTTGACTGCTCTAGATTTGGGAAACGGTGAAATCTTGGAGATCATAGCCTACTACTGTATATCATTCCTCGGTCCAAGGGAAGATAGGCTATGGTCTCCACATCACCGAGGGGCAATAGATTTCACCATTCCCCTTATGAGCGGTCAATATTTGTATATTATTGAATACGTAACAAGAAAAAAAGGAAATAGGAAAGAATTTTTTGAGAAGCTTAATCGTTTCCAGAAAATATATAGGGCCCAATATATACAAGTTATTATCATATTTCACTTTTTTTTGTAAAATAATGTCACTAATCATCAGAAGTCAAAATGCTAAGCCTGTCATATTTCATAATTCGATATTGAACTTTGACCCATGAAAGGCATAATTATTGTTGAGTTGATACCTGGTATTGTCAGCATTGAGGGATTATTTATACTAGAGCCTCCATCCACTTTCAAGGTATCACCGGTTATATATGCAGCAGCTGGGGACAACAGAAAGCAAACTGCTGCTGAAATCTGAAGAGGTCAAATCAATAAATTACCATAATTAAAAGGTTATACTAATGAAGAAGTTAAAAATGCAAATTTAATTGATTTTTTTTTGTCATGGATAATTACATATTGAAAATGTGAGTTGATTTAATTTGAATAAGTAATTGAAGGTTTATTTGGTTATAGTTTATTAAGAGAGACACTAAAAGAAAAAATAAATAGATCTACAGGACCTATGAACATACTGGCTAATGATCGCTCTGACTGGATAAGTATTGTTGAGTGTGCTATGTCACAAGATGTTTAGCATTGATGAAGATGATGATGATGATGAAAGAAAAGTTTGACTCTTCTACACTTGAATGCATGCTAAGGTCCCACATTTGGAAGGCATCTTACATATGGCTAATAATGTAGTCACCTTGTACAACCTACTGTGCATTTGAATCCAAGTGTGAAACGCCTAGTACGAATTGACAAGAATAAACCTAATACAATTTGTCTAAAAATTTGTCAAAAAAGATGCAAACATTTTCATTCTCTAGTTGTCAAATTTGTTTTACAAGCTATTGGATGTGAAAGTGAAGAAAAAAATGCTCACCTCTTCAACTTTGCCTAATCGTTTTGCCGGTATTGCAGGTATACTTTTTTCAAACAAATCAGGATCCGGATAGTTAGCAGCTGCAGTCTCCGAGTACACTGTTCCCTAGTTACCCACACAAAAATGATTTATCTATAGTTTCTTTTGTTTGAATAGAATGATCAACCTATAAGTAATGGTTTTTTTTTGTGATTTCAAAATAAAATCACATAAATTATATAAATAGACAATAGTAAAACTCTATATGAAAATGGATGGAAAGAAAATAATGATAAAATAATAAATGCGAGAAAAATAGAAATGTGGGAACTTTTTAAAAATAATTTTGGCTGGAATTCTAGAAATCTCTAGTTTTGTTGACAAAGATTTCTAGTTCACTGATGATCAATAATGAAACATCCCTTTCCTTGACATACACTGGGCACCAAAGGATAATATTTAGCCTTTCAGTAATTTTGGGAATCGGTTTCTACCAGCATATATACTTGAAATATAAAGAAAAAAAAAGTGTTGTGATATCAAACCACATTTGTATTTTGAATCATGGAGAGTCAGTCAGATTCAAGCTAGGCTTAATTCTAGAGCATATTGCCAACCATCCCTTATCCCAATATATTTAGGTTGATAAAATGGTACCCACAGGGCAAACAAATTAATAGTTAAGATATCAAATTTAATTATTTGAGTCAAAAAAATAATGTTGATACAATTAAATCCAATGCTACAGTTAAAACTAATTTAACTAGTTGTTTATTTATCAGTGCATTACTATGCTAATGGATGATAATTTCATGATTAAGATTTTGGTTATCTATTCAGCGTTCACTTACCGGTGCAACATTATTAATGCGTACACCATTTGCAGCCCATTCTATTGAAAGCGTCTTGGACAAGTTCACCACGCCAGCTCTTGCGGCTGATGTATGCCTACAGGAAAGTAAATAATGTAATCATCCTCAAAAGAAGTCCATTAAAATTTGTTCATTTTATATTTAGCCAGAAAATAATATAAAACTTGACATGACAATGTGGAGCAGTAGCCTAATGCATAAAATACACACGCTCCAAATACAAATTTGTTTAACTAACGTAATGAGTTTCCTCAACTAAAAAAATATTCCCTAAGCTTCATAACAGAATTTATTTTTTAAAGTAGTGAATGATTACTTGCAGATGTCAAAGCATGGATGTTTAAAAGTATTAAAAGGGTTTGTGAGACATTGTTCCAACCATTAAGGTATGATATTATTTATACCTATATGTTCCAAGACATAATTTCAACACACAAGTCCACTCTTATCAATATCATCAATGGGATCTCCTCATTTCTAATTTTTCAAAAAGTTTGTAAGAGAAACTGTGATTTGTACTACTGTAGTCTAAACAAAAACTGCATAAAATAATGGCTGTGGGCACCAAGGGGATTTTCAAGTTTTTTTCTTCTATGCATCACACTTATATACTGAAATTACACAAATATACATTAAACTTAGTTCATAAAGACATATTCAAATAAACTTAATAACAATACTTACGACATTAGTGGAAAGCCGTTCCAAAAATCAACAACTATGTTTACAATTGATCCACCATGCTCCTCCATCCATGCATTATAAACTGAAGGGAAGGAAGAGAAACAAAAATGCTTTAGAATTGTCATGGTCTAAAATTGCAGAGAGATAATGCAATGCAATGGTGGTGCACTGACTAAACTATGACATTTCACATGATGAATAGAGCTTTTGCCAAAATATGGGCATAATAATGTAATATCAAAACCATGTATGGTCCCATCACATGCCTAAACACATGTAACTGTCACATAAGCCTTGATATAATGTCGACAGAGCTTTAGTTTCTTCGTTTATATCACAGGGATAGATTTGATATTGGGTGTACACTCTACTCATTATGATATTTTGAAAACACTCCAAGATATATTTAGAGGGCACTACAAAGCAATCACATATATAATAATTATTATTATTCTAAAAATATTTTGAAAATTCATTGTATTAGTAGTATACAGTATGATGTAAAAATAATGAAGAGCCTTAACTAGGCTCTATATTAATCATTTTACCATCAATAGAGTTCATTTTTTATTTTTTCTATCATAAATAAAATATAAATTAATATGTACAGTATAACCTTTTGAGAATGTTTTTTTTTAACTGCTAACCCAAAACATAATCAATCACATTCACCAACCTTCTCGACAACAAAGAAATGTTCCAGTTAGGTTTGTGTCTATCACAGCATTCCACCCCTTTGTACGAATGGCAGAGGCTGGACATGCAAACTGTCCACCTCCGTTGTTTATTAAAAAATCAATTTTTCCATACTCTGCTAACGTTGATGACACAAGATTCTTAACCTGAGCAATGAAAATATAAAAACTTTACACTAACTTTAATATTTTCCACTGTGATTAATGTTACAATACAGTTATACTGACTAGAGCATTGCTGGGGTGATATAGATAGATGAATTCCAAAGCAACTGCATTTTTACACACCATTATATTCCATACTACATCCATAGATTAAATACTACTGTACTTTCTACTGTCAGTGAATTACTCAAAATCAATCATGTAAAATGCTAAAAATCAACTCTTTATTATCCAGAGGGCATTCACATCCTACCATCTAAATTTATACCTAAGTCACAGACATAGATTCAGCGCTTGGATAAAAGCGAATGTGAAATCTTCAGATTCCAACTCAAGACTCTCAGACTGGAAGACAAACACCCTGCTACTGTTCCACATGTTTCCATGGGTTTTTTTTTAGATTTTTCTTTTCTTATTCATAATGTTGCTTACATACCTCTTCCTCCTTCCTTATATTGCATGGTATAGACTTTATCTTTGCTGGTGAGCCTTCAGGTATTGCTTGTCGCATATGAGAAGCTGATTTGCTCAATCTTTCTTCATTCCTCGATGCTACCACAACTTTGCATCCTATCACAAAAAAAATTAATTAGAAATTATAAAGTTACTGAAGTCTCAGCCAGACAGAACCTGCATTTCAGCATTTTCATAATTACTAGTGAGAGCGCACTGTAACCCAAACCTAAAAGAAACTTATGGTATTTGAAACATAGCATAGGCCTTATACTTTCCCTTTTGGCATAAAAGTGTTTCCAAATTCCATTTTTAAAAAAAGCACCTTTCAAGCTATCAAGTTTTATGCGACAAATATGAGCAATACTCAAATATGGGCATGATAATGCCACACTACTGCTATCAAATTTTTGTGACATTAAAAAAAAAGTGCAGATGGACCAAGTTTCCTTTCTTAGTTTAGACCAGAGATCCCAAGTTTGAAAACCAAAAAATAGGGAGATTTTTTTCATGAAGCGATCGCCTTCTGTAGCGACGCACTGTGACGCCTTACAACGCGCTGTGCAACATGAAAGTATTACACAAAATGAAG